AATGCCTGACCAACCTGGAACACTCTGAACTTCCTAGATATCCACTACTGCCAAAATTATTACAACTCAAAAGACCTGTAGTTTTGAAAAATCTAGACGGGGGCTGGAGCAATAGTACTAATAATACTGATTGTCTTGAATGCAGTATTATTGAACCTGACCAGGGTTCAATCCCCGGAATCCCATATGGTACTCCGCCTGCCAGAAGTAATTCCTGAGTGCAGAGCCAGGAATGTCAATGTGGCCACAAAACAAACAAACAAACAAAAACTAGACTACTTTGGTCAAACAGTTTATAGTGGATTTTCACAAATATTCCACATATATAGAATAAGGAATTCACACACATATATATGTGAAATTTAAACTTTCCCCTTTTATTTCACAAGAAACAGTTAAATGTCAAGTAATTTTGAATTTTTCTAAATTAAACTTTACATCTTATTTCTTTTTAAACTTTACATTTTAGCAATGCAACCGTTGGGGCTGCAACAATAAAACAGCGGGTAGGGCAGTTACCTTGTATGTGCCCAACCTGGGTTGGATCCTTTGCATTTCATATGGTCCTTTGAGTTCCTTTTCTCTTCTATTCCTGAGCACAAATTTAGGAGTAAGTCCTGAGCACCACTAAGTGTCATGCAAAAACTAAAAAAAGAAGAAAAAAATACATTTTTGTGTTTTTTTTTTAAGGAAAAATGTGAGAGATGCAGAATCAGATTATTTCTGATTAATTGTAACTATCTTACAGAAAAATAAAACAGATCTAGTTCGAAAAGGGATTCAACTAAACACAGTGGTACTTTACAAACAACATGTAACCATCTCCTTCAAATTGACTTCTAAACTCTGGATTATCGAAATTGCTGTTAAAGTTATTCCTTTAACTATGACTTAATTAAATCCATATCAGTTAGAATATGGAAACCACTAAGGAATTAATTTGGCTATTGTTCAAGTTAATATGAGCAAATTCTCCTCTTTTCAGAGAATTGTTAGCATAATTATGGCCTTTATCTTCCCCAAAGCACTTGTCATTTAATTATTAGCATGATTTTTTTATGATTCTTTGTTAGATTCTTTGTGACAGCACAGAGAGGGCTTGTTTTTATTATTAAAACTACATTTTGGTGCATCAACACAGTAAGCTCTCTAGTCTCAAAGAGTAACTTTTACCATAAAGCATACTTAAATGTTTAAAAATTATCTTTAAGAGCACCTTTAAGTAAATAAAAGCTCTCTGCCAGGCAAGGTCCGTGTTTTCCAACTTCCAGCTGTGAAGCACCCATCATATAAAGCCTACATATTAATTGTTAATCACTTTAGCTCAAACTAATTAAATATTTAGCCCTACAAAGATCTAGAGAGTGAAAAACATTGAACTTAATTTAACGGTTTAACATCTAAAACTATTTGAAATGAAATTATTTATCTGGCACTTCATCTTTGGAAACTCCCAGGTAGACGACCACTCCAATTTCTTCCTTTCCAGCATGATCGTCATTCTCACAAATGAGATTACTGCCGTCTAAGCTAATATTTATTAGACATTTGCTCTGTACTAGGTAGGCATGTGCTCCACACACACAGATATTTGTCTGTTCCTTATGAGCCCTATGAGGTAGCTGCTATTAATATCTCCATTCAGAGTCTAAAAGCTTAGAAAGGTTAAGTAACTTGATAAATGTCACATAACTAGTAGAAGACAGATTCCAGATTTGAAAGGCTAACTCAGTTTAAAGCCCTAGATCGCGGTTTTTACTTTCTTTTACCTAAGCCTATTTAATTAATTTGAATGTGGCGTAGGCACCAGAGAGAATACAGCAGGTAAGCTTCTTGCCTTGACACAGCTGACCTTGGTTTGATCTCCAAGTACCACATCCGGTTCCTCGAGTCCCATCAGGAGTAATCCCTGAGCACAGAGCCAGGAGTAAGCCCTGAGCACAGTGGGTGTGGCCCCAATGTGGCCCCAAACCAAAACTAAACCAAAAAACATTAGTATTAAATTGCCTTTAAGAACTGGAGCGATAGCACAGCAGGTAGGGCGTTTGCCTTGCGTGCAGTTAGCCCCGCTGACCCGGGTTCGATTCCTCCGCCCCTCTCGGAGAGTCCGGCAAGCCACTGAGAGTATGTCGCCCCCACGGCAGAGCCTGGCAAGCTCCCCGTGATGTATTCAATATGCCAAACACAGTAACAAGTCTCAAAATGGAGACGCTACTGGGCCCCCCTCGAGCAGATCGATGACCGATGGGAGGACAGTGCAGTGCCTTTAAGAACGGGCTTGGGGTGGAGCAGTAGCACAGCAGGTAGGGCGTTTGCCTTGCACACGGCAGCCCACCTGGGTTCCATCTTGGGTTCATCCCCGGGATCCCATGTGGTCCGCCTAGCACCGCCAGGAGTAATTCCTGGTGGAGAGCCAGGAATAAGAATAACCCCTGAGCATCACCGGGTGTGACCCAAAAAAAAAAAACCAAAAAGAACAAGCTCATTGTTTGTTAAGACTCATTTTCGTCTTATCAGCAAATACTAGATAAAATATTTATTCCAGGAATAGGGAGGAATATTCAAGGAACATCAACGGAGATTTTTTTTTTTTAAATCCCAACAAACCCATGATTGTCAGATGAGTGAATAAGAACAAATGTTTCAGGACTGGAGAGATTACAGCACATGGCTGACCCCTTCCCCATGCTCTGCAGGCACTACCATAAGGGCCCTGAGCACCCCTAGGAGTGATTCCGAAGCACGGCTGGGTATGACCTGATACCATTTCCCCCACCTAAATTTATTAAAAACAAAACAAAACAAAAACAACCTAGGCGCTCTTTTTAGCAATCTGGGGAGCTTGCGGTTGTGACCTCACCGTGGAAAGACTTGGGGCCAGAACGATAGAACAGGGAGCAGGGTATCTGTCTTGCTCAAATACCTGGGTTCAATCCCTGGCATCCCATATGGTCCCTTGAGCATGGCCAGGAGTCACTCTTGAGCACTGGAAGTGTGCCTCAAACCCCGCCCCCCAAGTGCAAAGACTTGAGGAGGAGGGGGCGGTTCAGAACAGGTAAACTTTTGGAGAGTGCCCAGTGAGGGGAACAAGTGGGAAGAGCCTATTAAGAGTTTGAGATAGGAAAAGGAGGGCAGAGGAGTTGGCGTATATTTAACGTTGCCCTAGCTCAGTACCAAGGACAGCTTTAAACCTTTTTTTTTTTCTTTTTGAATCACACCTGGCAGAGCACAGGGGTTACTCCTGGCTCCGTACTCAACTCCTGGCAGAGCTCAGGGGACTATATGGGATGCCGGGAATCGAACCTGAGTCGATATGCCCTTCCCGCTGCGCTATCACCCCACCCCGACCCCGTCCCAAGGAAAGCTTTGAGTAAAACTAGCACTTGCACTTGGTTCACTGCATCTCCCTTTGCAGAAAATTCCACCAAGAGCCAGCAAAAACCAAGAAGCATGCACGCTCCGAGAAACGGGAGAACTCGGTTTAATTTTACAGCGGCAGACCCGGCCGGACCCCCGCTCCCAAGACTGGGCGCCCACCCCAACAGGGAGACCTGCGTCCCGTGGACTATCGCATGCGGGCGGGAGGGTGCAGAGCTGGAGATTCCCAAGCACGTCCGCTGGCACGGCGGGGTCGGGAGCCCGCAAGGACACGAGCACATCGCAGCGCCCTTCGCAGGTTGCCAAGGTTACCGAGCCGGCCCGTGACCATCTCAAGGACATCCCCGAGGCGGGCTACGGGGCTGGAGATGCAGCCCGGCCGGGGGGCGCCTGCTCTGGGTCCGCCGCGCGCAGCACGGCTAGGGGGCCTCTCCCGGCGGCCGGGCGAGGGAGGCCTCGTGGGGTGTCCGGTCCCCGAAACCAGGGGGCGACGCTCGTTCCCTCGGGCCTCCTCCGCGTCATCCGAAAGGGATGAGCGGAGCCCCGCGACACAAAAGGAAAACGCATCATCTTCCCGGCGATGAATCCGCCCACGGTGGCGACCCCCTGGCATCTTTACGAACGAGCACCGTGGGCAACTTTTCCCGCGAAACCTCTCCGAGCCCCGGCAGCCCTGCGGCCCCGGGACCCCTCCCCTCCGGGGGGCGGCGGGCGGTCCGGCCCGGCCCGCGGCCCGCAACTCGGCCAAGTTTCGGAGGACAAAGGCCCGGAGGCCCGGGGGGGGGGCGGGGGGCTCCCCGTCATCCCTGCGGGGGCCGCGCCCGGCCGAGGCGTCACCAGCCCCCCCCCCGTTTGTTCGGCGATCAAGCCCCCGCCTCGCGCGACCACCCGGGGCGGCCCCGCCCCCACCCCGGCCGCGCCAGCCCTTGACCCGGAGGCCCGGCCGCGAGCGCGGCGGGGCGGGCCCGGCGGCCTTTGATGGCTTTGTTATTGTTTGGGTTTGAATCGCTACGCCCCTCCCCATCCTTCCGCCCCGCGCCGCCCCCGCCCCGCGCCCCTCCCCCTCCACTTTGGCGCCTTTTCCTTCCCGCCACGTCGCGGCGGCGCAGGACCACTCCGACCGCGCGCGCGGGGCGGGGCGCGCCGCCCCATGCAGATGAGGCGGCGCGCGGTTGGCCGGCGCGGCGCGCGGGGGCGGGGCCGGGCGCGGCGCCCCGCCCCATGCAGATGAGGCGGCGCGCGGTTGGCCGGCGCGGCGCGCGGGGGCGGGGCCGGGCGGGGCCGCGGGGCGCCGCCCGGCGCCGCCGCCGCCGCCCAGCCGCTCCGCGCCCCCGCCCGCCGCCGCCGCCGCCGCCGCGCGGCTCCCCGCCTCGGCCTCCCGGAGAGGCCCCGCCCCGCCGCCGCGCCCTCCGCGCCGCGCCCCTCCCCGCCGGCGCGCGCCGCCCCTTTACTCCTGGCGGCCGGGCGAGCCGGGCGTCTGCTGCAGCGGCCGCGGCGGCGGAGGCGGAGGAGGAGGCCCGGGACGCGCGGCGGCGGCAGCGGCGGCAGCGGCGGCAGCGGCGGGAGCGGCGGCGGCCCCGGCAGCAGCGGCAGCAGCCGGCCCAGCGCGCGTGGCGCCGCGCCGCGCCGTGCCGCAGAGCCGCCCTCGGCGCCGCCCGAGCCCGCGGGCTCGCCCCCCGCGCCCCGCGCCCCGCGCCCCGCGCCCGCGGCGGGGATGCTGCTGTCCAAGATCAACTCGCTCGCCCACCTGCGCGCCGCGCCCTGCAGCGACCTGCACGGCCCCAAGCTGGCGCCCGGTGAGCGGCCCCCCGGGGCGGGCGGGGCGGGCGCGCGGGCCGCGGCGGGCGCTGAGCCTCTGCGCCCCGCAGGCAAGGACCCGGAGCCGCTGGAGGCGCAGTACCAGGTGGGCCCGCTCCTGGGCAGCGGCGGCTTCGGCTCGGTCTACTCGGGCGTCCGCGTCGCCGACAACTTGCCGGTGAGTGCGGGCGCGGCGCGCGGGGGGCGGCGCGCGGGGGGCGGCCCTCCCTCCCTCCCTCCCGCGGCTGCTGACGGCCCCCGCCCGGCTCCCCAGGTGGCCATCAAGCACGTGGAGAAGGACCGGATTTCCGACTGGGGCGAGCTGGTGAGTGGCCGGGCCGGGCGGCGGGCGGGCGGCGGGCGGCGGGTGGGCGCGCGCGTGCCCCCGCCCCGCCCGCCTGACGCCCGCGCTCCCTCCCGCAGCCCAGCGGCGCCCGCGTGCCCATGGAGGTGGTCCTGCTGCGCAAGGTGGGCTCGGGCTTCCCCGGCGTCATCCGCCTGCTGGACTGGTTCGAGCGGCCCGACAGCTTCGTGCTGGTGCTGGAGCGGCCCGAGCCCGTGCAGGACCTGTTCGACTTCATCACGGAGCGCGGCGCGCTGCAGGAGGAGCTGGCCCGCAGCTTCTTCCGGCAGGTGCTGGAGGCCGTGCGGCACTGCCACAGCTGCGGGGTGCTGCACCGCGACATCAAGGACGAGAACATCCTCATCGACCTGCGCCGCGGCGAGCTCAAGCTCATCGACTTCGGCTCGGGGGCGCTGCTCAAGGACACGGTCTACACGGACTTCGACGGTGAGCGCGCCCGCCCGCCCGCCCGGCCGGCGCCAGAGGTCGTTTGGGGGTGGCGGCGCGCGCCGGCTCGGCCCCGCGTGTGCGTGGCCGGGAGGAGCCGGGGGCGGGGGGGCGCAGCATCCTTGCCGGGGGGCGGTGGGGGGGGAGCATCTTTCCTGCCCGGGGCCCGGTTAGGGGCATTTCGCCCCGGGGTGCGGGGAGCGCCCTGCCCCGGAGCCGGGGGCAGCATCCTCTCGCCCCGGGGTGGGTGGGGGGCGCGCCCTGCCCGTTTCAGAGCTCGCAGGTTTTCCTCGCCCTTGGAGGACGCGGCCGGCGGCGCTGCCTCTTTTTTTTTTTTTTTTTCTCCCCCTGCATCGAGCAGTTAATGGGCGGCCGGCCCGGCGGGGTCTCGGGCCGCTGCTGCCCCCTGGCGAGCCCCCGCGGCAGCGCCCGCGCGGGCTTTTACAACCCAAAGTTTGTAAACAGGAATCACGTGGTGTGCCCAGCCCGCGGCCGCGCGGGGGGCGGGGCGGGGCGGGCCGGAGGAGGCGGGGGCGGGCCGGGGCTCCCGCGCCCGCTGGACCGCGTGCTGCTGCTGCGGGCCTGCTGCGGGCCCGAGGTCAGGGCCGGGCTGGAGAATGACTTGCCGGGGCCGTCAGGGGGAAGGGAGCTCCCTGCCCGCCAGGAGCACGAGGCCTGGCTTTTTTAAATTAATTAATTAATTTATTTATTTATTGGCTTTTTGAGTCCCACCCAGCATTGCACTGGGGTCGTTCCTGGCTCCTGCACTCAGGAACTGCGCCTGGGGGTGCTTCGGGGACCCTACGGGATGCTGGGAGCCAAACCCGGGTGGGCCGCGTGCAAGAAGGCAAACGCCCTACCCGCTGTGCGATCGCTCCAGCCCCAGGCGGGGGCTGCCTTTTGCAGAGGTTTCTTGGCATCTTCTGTTCGGGCTCAAAGAGCGTAACCCTTGCACGTTCCCCTTGGCCCGCAGGGACCCGAGTGTATAGCCCTCCTGAGTGGATCCGCTACCATCGCTACCACGGCAGGTCGGCCGCCGTCTGGTCCCTAGGGATCCTGCTGTACGACATGGTCTGCGGAGATATTCCCTTTGAGCACGACGAGGAGATCATCAGGGGCCAAGTGTTCTTCAGGCAAAGGGTCTCTTCAGGTAGCCTCTCTGGAGGAGACTCCTGGCGGGTGGGAGTAGGCAGTGGCCCCCTTCCCTCCCCTGGGAGGCCGTGCCCTTGGCCTGCCCTCTCCGGTCCTGGGAATGCAGGCCTTAGGTTGGAGAGGAGTGCGAGGCCTTGAGCATGTTAAGATGACAGGCTCCTTCCCGCCTAAGTTTGAGTGCTCACACACACACAATCTTGGTCCCTGCACTCTTGGTCTGGGGGGGGATTTGAAGGCACTACAGCCCCCCCCCCCAATTATGTGGCTCCAGTGAGCTCATTTGTGGGTGGTGTTCCTATTTGTCAGTTGGTAGGTGAATTGTAGTTGAATCACCTCATCACGCTCCCCCGTGATGTCTCATCAGAATCCTTGTCATCACGCTTCCTATTTCTGGTGTGTGGGTGTCGTGGGAAAGGCCCTGACTATTGAAGTCTAAAAACCACAGGGTTAAGAGGGGAGTTTTTTTCTTTCTTTTTTTAAAAGCCGAAAGCAGACACTGGAGAGCGTAGGTAACACCTTCCCATTGAAGCCTTCCGAGAGTGAGAAGGGGCCTAGGTCTCTGAGACCCCGGGCTGGGGGCCCCCGGGGAGGCCTTCCCCTTGCGAAAACAGATTGAGTCACACGTAACCGTGTTGATCTTGTTTCTGTAGAGTGTCAGCATCTCATTAGATGGTGCTTGTCCCTGAGACCGTCTGATCGGCCGTCCTTCGAAGAAATTCAGAACCACCCGTGGATGCAAGATGTCCTGCCTCAGGAAACGGCTGAGATCCATCTCCACAGCCTGTCTGCGGGGCCCAGCAAATAGCGGCTTCTTCAGCAGGCGCCCCCCCCCTTCCCGCCCACTGCCCCGGGAAGGGGACTCTCCAGTTTCCAGCTCCCTAAGCTACCAGTGACACTTCTCGCCAAGCAGGACAGTGCTTGATACAGGAACAATATTTACAACTCATTCCAGACCCCAAGGCCCCTGGAGGCTGCCTCCCGCCAGCGCGGGGAGGAGCCGGCGCCAGGTGTCCAGGCCCCCACTCGTAGATGCTCTCCTAGGTGTCCAGTGTGGCTGGACTGGCAAGATCCCGGGGTGGGGGGTGGGGGGAGTGGGTCCGAACCCTGCTGTGGGACTGTGCCCTTCATCACGAGTTCTGCTGATTTGTGGCCACGGGTCGGGTCGGGTGGGGTGGGGGGGACGGGTTGGGGTGGGGTAGGACTAGCACCATTTTAAGTCCCTGTCACCTCTTCCGACTCTTCTGAGTGCCTTCTGTGGGGACTCCGGCTGTGCTGGGAGAAATACTTGAACTTGCCTCTTTTACCTGCTGCTTCTCCAAAAATCTGCCTGGGTTGGTTCCCTGTTTTCTTCCCCTCCCCCTCCCCCATCCTTATTCGAAAGGTGCCATGGACGAGGCTGCAGGGCCAAACACTGAGCCACCTGCCCGTTTCTGCCTCCTTCAGTAAAACTCCGAGTGAACTGGTCTTCCTTTTTTTTTTTATTCCTTTTTGGTTTTTATGTAACTTCAAAGCCAAGACCTCACACACAAAATGCACAAACAATGCAAATCCACAGAAAAAACTGTAAATGTGTGTACAGTTGGCATGGTAGTGTACAAAAGGATTGTAGTAGACCTGATTTTTCTTTTTTCCCCATTATGCCTTTTTAAGTTATTTTGCCTGACTCTTTTTTTTCCCCGTTTTTGAGAGGTGCGCATTCTAACCTGAGGTCAATGTTAATGTATTTATTTATTTATTTATTTGGTACCCTTCCTGCTCTCCGCTTCCACGCCTGCCGCCGCCGTTTTTTCTTTCCTCCTCTGACTTTCGGGATCTTCGGGGGGAGGGCTGCGAACGCTTGCTCGTAGGGTGACGGGACTCAGGCAGGACAGCTGCTGAAGCCCCTGACTGCTGTGGGGTCCTGGCCTGCTTCCCTGAGGGCCCGCGGGAGGTGGGAGGGCGTTGCTGACTTGTGTGTTCGGGATAGCTATATGAAAGGCCGTTCGGACGGTGCCTTCCAGATCCTCTCCGGGGCTGTTTGGAGCAGCGTGTAGCCTGCTGGTTTTATCAGAGTGAAATACTGTACAGGGGAATAAAAGAGATCTTATTTTTTTTTTATACTTGGCGTTTTTTTTAATAAAAACCTTTTGTCTTAACCTGTGGTTTCCTAGTGTGTTCTCTGTAAAGGCCAACGTAATTGTGTATTTATTACTGACTTTGGGCAAAAGCCCTGTAATACGTGTAAAGAACAGAGCCTACCTGGTTTCCTTGCATGGTTTTCCTTGCGTGTCACCTTTCTGAAGTGACTGGGTGACCAAGGTGTTAGGGGGCTAGTCTGGGGTGGACAAGATCGGGCGTGCGGGTCCTTGGCCTCCACACCAACTCTGGAACTGAGTTGGTGCAACACAGCCAGGTTAAAATATTAATAGCTATTTATGGGGGGTGGTAACTCAGCCATAGAACACTTCAATTTGGCACTAATGACTATATAGTGACCATTTCCGGTGTTGGAGAAAGTTCTTGGGCGTGGCCCTGCTGATGGACAATTGAGGTTTTCTCTCACGAGTAAGCCATTTGAGAAAATAGCCCGTACATCTCAAAGTTACCAAAAACCTACCTGTATTGGCCCCTGACTTAAATTCCTTTCATGCTTAGTGTAGGGTTTAGTCAACAAAAGCCAAAGGGTGGGAATTGGTTGGCTTTGACAGTTTCTACACCCCCCATGACAAAGACAAAGGCTTATCCTGGAAATAGGTAAAATGTTAGCCTGCAGATTTTCCTACTGCTTGTGCTGGGATAATTAGTGTTTTCGGTCTGCGGTTTCTTTGCCCGAATGTGTTTAAGCCTCTAGTCCGTTCCCTGTGAGTTTAGACTGGGTGGTAGACCCCAGGAATTCCCTTAGAACACATAGTTGGAATATGTGAGAGCATGTTCTGTTACTCGCTGGGTGTGTTTGGTGCCTGGGACTCAACTCGGGGCCTTAGACCTGCACGTGCTGTCCACGACTGTATTGGCAGGCGGGCGTCTGGTGAGCCTGCCCTCCCAGCGGGCAAGCGCGTTCCTGCCCTGTGTGCACAGCCAGTGGACACTGCCCAGGCACTTGTCCGGATGCTTGAGGGCCCGGATCACCATTCCTGACGCTTCTGAGCAAACTTGGACTAGATCCAGAACCCGTGCGGCTGAGGGAGAGGAACCCAGGATCCTTGGTTCTGGGGGCTGGTTTTCGAAGTTCCCCTTTTCTCTTCCCCACCCCCTGCTTCCCGTAAAAACACACACACTCCCTCCCAGCCTCTCGGACTGTGAGGGTTGCAGGCCTCATTCCAGTAAAGTTGACCCTTGCTTGAACAATTCATAGTTGCTCCAAACTTCTAACGCAATCTTACAAGCCCCACCCTCCGTTCCCTGGAAGTGAGTTTCTAGTAGTTTCCCCATTCTCTGATGAGACTCTCCTAGGGTTGAAGGAAGATTACCGCTGAAGAAATAAATGAACAGTGTTACCTTGGGTGCCAGATACTGGGGCTGGTGTGGAAAAGGTAAAAGGTCATTTTGGCCTCTTGTGAGCAGTTCAAAATCGATGTTCTAATGCAGGTCATGCTCTTTATTCAAGGATCCTGCAGCGGTGAATTTGCCTGCTTGCGAATATTGGTGGTCCCATTTCTTCCACCTCCTTGTGCTTTCTCTTTTGTGGTTCGCTGTTGGAAAGGGACTGGACATGCTTTGCATGTGGGAGCACTGGAAGCTGCCAGGAGCAGTGCTGGGAGTAGCTTCTAAGCACACTGAGCGCGGGGGCTGGAGCGATAGCCCAGCGGGTAGGGTGTTTGCCTTGTACACAGCCGACCCGGGTTCGATCCCTGGCATCCCATAGGGTCCCCCAAGCACTGCCAGGAGTAATTCCTGAGTGCAGAGCCAGGAGTAACCCCTGAGCATCGCTGGGTGTGACCCAAAAAGAAAAAAAAAAAAGAAACACACTGAGCGCGCTGCCCCCCCACCCCCCACACACACCCACACCTAAACAAGAAATCTAGTGTGGAAAGGGAGTCGTAACACGACCGAGAGATCGATCACACAAGCAACGGACGAAGCAGAGAGCAGGGCAGCCTGGGCGCTGTTCTCCCCCGTCCTTCCGGGCCGCCCTGGGCAGCTGCGGCACCTGTTGGATCTCTGGAGATTCGCATCTAAGTCGATTAATATCTGAAGAGACACACTCACTGATTGGATTATTGAATTAAGGACCTGTACTTACATTCAGGGAAATACCATCCCATCCCCTGCTTGCAGATGCAGACATACATGTAGTAAAATTATAAGAAGGATTGGGTGATAAATTCCTTGAGCCAGGACAGAGGCAGGGAAAGGGGTGTCAGAGGTCGGGGAGGGCTCCCAATGGTTTGGGCAGTGCTCAGTTTTATGTTCCAGAGGGTGAAGACTAAAGAGTTTGCCTTATTCTTTTTGATTTGTTTTTGGGCCACACCTACAAACGACCTACCCGCTACCAGTGCTCAGGTCATACTGTGCACTCAAGGATTCTTTCTGGCAGGGCTGGAGGGACCATATGGGGTTCTGGGGATCGAACCAGGGTCAGCCGTGTGCAAGGCAAATGTCCTCCCTGCTACTATTACTCAGGTCCCTCCGTGATTCTTTATCGTTGTTGCTTTGCTGTCACTATTTCATGATCCTTTTTATTTAGTTGGGGGTAGTGGCACACATGGTGGTACTCAGGGGCTACTCCTGGCTCAGTGCTCAGGAATTGCTCCTGGTCCAGGGCTCAGGGAATGCTCCTGCTGGTGCTGGGGATTGGACCGGGGGCGGGGGGGGTGTCTCCTGCATGCAAGGCATGTACTCAGCTCATTGAGTTCTCGTCCCAAGCACTCTTGATGATTTTTAAAATGACATGAACTTGGGGATGGAGAGATAGTAGAGAGTGCAGGGGGCTTGCTTTGTCAACCCAGGTTCGATCTCCGGCACTCCATGTAATCCCCAAGCACTGCCAGGAGTGATCCCTGAGTGCAGAGCCAGGCATAAGCCCTGAGCATTGCTAGGTGTGGCCCCAAAAATCCAAAACCTTTTCTTTTCTTTTCTTTTCTTTTTTTTTTTTTTTTTTGCTTTTTGGGTCACACCTGGCGATGCACAGGGGTTACTCCTGGCTCTGCACTCAGGAGCTACTCCTGGCCGTGCTCAGGGGACCATATGGGATGCTGGGAATCGAACCCGGGTTGGCCACGTGCAAGGCAAACGCCCTACCCGCTGTGCTATCTCTCCAGCCCCCCAAAACCTTTTCTTATCCCATAGGAGGCAGCAGATGAAATCATTGCTTTCTTTGACTGATCTGGGGAGGCTTCAAAGAGGGGGATTCTAGGGTGAGCCTTCATTTGTTCACCTATGAAATGAAGCATTAAATCTGCAGAGAGAGGGGGGAGCCCCCCTGGAACTAACGTTTCCCGCCACCCCTCCATCTCCCCATTACCTCGGGGATCCTCAAAATCCACTCCGCTGACAGCAGGTCCACCTCACGGTTAGCTACAAGCTAGAGCTAGGTTGCATCATTGCAACATTTATTCATTTTTGTGACTTGGAAGCCACACACAGAGGTGCTCAGGGCTAACTCCTGGCTCTGTGCTCAGAGGTCACCCGGGTGGGACTCGAACCTGGGCCAGTCATGTGCAAGGCCAGTGCCCTACCAGCAGCACTCTCTCGCTGGCCCCGAGGTTTTTTTTTATTTTTTCATTTTCATTTTTTGGATCGTACCCAATGGGCTCAGGATTTACTCCTGGCTCTGCACTCAGGAATTACACCTGGCGGCACTCAGGGGACCATATGGGGTGCCAGGGATCAAATCTGGGTTGACCGTGTGCAAGGCAAGTGCCCTACCCACTGCTGTATCTCGCCATACCCTCTCCTCAAGGTTTTTTAAAATGGAAAAAAAAAAAAGAGCAGATGGGATTGGATTGACAGCATAGCAAGGAGGGCATTTGCCTTGAAGGCAGCCAACATGGGTTCGATCTTCCACACCCCATATGGTCCCCTTAGCTTATCAGGAGTGATCCCTGAGCACAGTCAGATATAGATATAAGCTCTGAACACTGCTGGATGTTCCATTATGA